CAGTAGTCTACATCGGCTATATCTGCCTCACCAAACTTGCTATTTTCTTCGTGAATAATCATCCAAACAATACAAAACAACAACAACAACAACAACAACAACAACAACAACAACAACAACAACAGGACACAAATGATGGAGATGCATGCATGAAATGATACACTCTGTCTTTACTTACGGTCCGCGCTGCCTACAAATTAATGGGAAAGGTAGCTATACCTTCTGCCGACACACGGGCGAGAGAGGCGACCATACCCACTGCATTCAACACACACCCACATGTCAGTGATGAAACCCCAACCACACGCCTCTATCGGCGGCCACGTCAGGAGGCAATGATGAGATAATAATGTTCTCCCGTGCCCTTCTCACATTGAACGACATGCCATTACACAACAAGGTAAATATGTTCTCCCGCGCCGCACATGCCCCCATACGTCACACACAAAAAATAAGTTGATGACGAAAATATACACACCCCGAGACGCGCTTGCTCCGCAAACACATAAGGGTGCCATAATAGGACACCCGACAAATCGAGTTCCCCTAAATCTTCCGTCTACAACTTCCCAACATAACATACACACACATAGATACACAAGATGGCTCCCAAACTGTCTTGTTGAGCCTGTTACCCACAGGGGAGATATCGTTGTTTGCTGTCTGGGAAACCGTAGACATACAGGTAGCCTTTCGCTCACGCTATGGATTCATTGCTAATCTATCTTAGACATATTTCTATAGATAGAGATGGGTTTGTTGTGTGATATGAAGAAAGAAAAAAAAAACACAAAGCACAAGATTGCGCGCACGTAAAAAATCACAAGCAATTTATGTAGTAATTAACTGCCGAAACTCCACAAAATTTGTAAGCAGGCTCCGCGGGGCACGTGACAGATCGATGTGTGCCCCGACCCTGTCGGTGGCAGGGTGATACCGGGCAAAGAGGCAACTATACGCACGCACGCGCAAATTCGTCGAGATCGGAGATATTGTAAAATGGGCGCATGTATACATTGTACAAAGTCATCACTCATCAATTGAATACTCAATAAATCTGATGGGGAGAGTACAGACGAGAACAAGACCCACATATATATGCATCCAACCACAACAAATAAATCGGTGCTGCGTGCAAAGGGACGCAGCCATGATGATTCTGGTTGCATTCGCTCATCGTATGGATGGTCAAGAATTAATAATGTCAATGGAGCCGAAGAACATGTACGCGCGCGGGTAAAACAAGAACTCAACACTGACGATCGAAACCCGGAGAAATAAACAGCCTCCGCGGGGCAGGTGACAGAGGTGTGGCCCGACCCTGTCGTTGGTAGGCTTATCCCGGGCTCGGAAGGGGTGGTCTCAGTTCCAACCAAAGAAGAATGAACGAACGTGTAATATGCGCGCGCCGTAAAAAGGAGTAGTCTAACTGTCGAAATGCGAGAAACATCAACCATCGATCATCAGTTATGTGCGTGCAGGCTTGGCGCGTGCGAAATAAATGCGGCGGTACATGCTTCCTCGTCGAGAGGTTGCAGCGGTGTGGCCCGAACCTCTCATTGGCAGGCTAAGTTGGTAGATACACAGCTATTCCGATGTCGAAGGATTTGTCGATCCGGCTGTAGATTCGATGGGGCTTCAATTTGATGGCGGGTAGGCGACGGTTAGGCACAAATAAATTCGTCGAGATCGAAGCAATTTGGTGCCGACAGCAGCATCTGCTGCATGTCCGTGTTTTCATGCTTGAGGAGGCCGGTCACCGACACAACCAAACTTCAATGAGGAGGTTCCAATCAAGCTAAAACTTGCTGAGGGCGTCTAAGGTAGTGCAGGACTGCCGGTGGTCTGATTCCTTATGCCTCGAGCGTTCGGCTCAAAAAAGCGCGTGGTTCGGAGCTTCGGAGTGAACGGGGACAGACAGACACTTTTTTTTTTACCGTTCTGTGAAACCTCTAGAGACTGTATCGGTCTCCTAGACGAAGAATATTATATCGCGTGCTTTGGGGAGAATAATTTATCGCGGGGTACGTGGCAGAGAATAATTCATCGAGATGTGCCCCAAGCCTCTCGTTGGCAGGTTTGACCTGGCCTCAAAGTGGGTAATCCTGTATGCAGAATTGACGGCGTGGCTCCAAATTGACGGCGTATCCAACTAGACTACCCGGGATTGATGTGCTCCGACGAGAACGAAGTCAACAACAGTTATGCGCGCGAAAAACAAACTGCAATCGTCGGGACGTGGCCCGATATTGAATACTTCCGCGGGGAAGGCGGCAGCGGTGTGACCCGCTCGTTGGCAAACTGGATAGGTAGACACATAGTCATCCCAGTGTCGAAGGGGTTGCTCATCCAGTTGTAGATTGAACGGGGTATTAATTTGATGGCAGCCAGTTGTACTTGCCGCTCAAATTGACCGAGGTCGGAGCAATTTGGTTCCGGAAGCATCTGCTGCATGCTCGTGCTTCGTGCTCTCGAGACGTCCGCTTACCGACACAGGCAAAGGTTAGCGCAGAACGCATCATCAATTAAGCTCACACTTGCGGAGGGTGTCTAAATATCTGCAGGACGGCCAAATGTGATTTCTTGCGCTTCCGTTGTTCGGCAAAAAAAACCGCGTGGTAGTTCAGAGCTTCCGAGTGAACGGCACCAGAGAGGCACATATTTTTAGTCGCATGTTAAACTAGACCTCTAGAAACCATAGCCGATTCTCAGAGGGACCAGAGAAACATGGTGGTGAAACCGCGTGTGTCGACCCTGGTTTCAACGACCGTGGATACTGGTCGGGGTGTGCATTTGGACGAACACGAGTTCGACCCCAATCCGATGACTGCGTTAGCCTTTCCCATTACTACGAGGTCTCCCAGAGACCAGAACCAACCGCATGTCGACAATCGTGGGTACCGCACACGACAGGTGACAACATGCAACAAACGGTGCTGATAGTATTTACGGTCAACACGAGCCCAACGAATAAAACTCGCTCAGAAAAGCGATACAAGACGTCACACAAAACCCACAACAGTGAGCACCGCCGGTGAAATGTTGTTTCGAAGTCAAACTGTCACCGGGGTGTGTTTGCTTGCGCTGAATACGGCGTTGCCACCAGTACCTCTTCCGACGTCATGCTACACGACATCGCTGAAGGGCACTCATCCGACCTCATGAGATGGACGTCGGGAATGCGGCTGTAGGGTAAACTCTTTTCGTCCAGCGGTGGGGTTTAACTACGTTGTGGGGTCGCGTTGCCGTAGCCCTCTTTCCCGGGCTGGCGTCGAGAAAAAGTATATGCACATGCCTAAACATGCACGGGAAAAATGGGTAGGTCCGCCAGCTGGGGGCAGGAGGCCTCATTCAATCCAATATTTACGTCATCAAGTGGTCGGCAACGGTGCCAATGGCACATCAGTGATGAAGAGGTAGCTGAACCATGCACTTTGAATCTTAGGCATGCCACCAACAATGTGTCCTCTCGCCCAGCTACTGAATGAGAGAGGAAAAGACCCAGACACTTCGGATGTGCTGCTTCGAGAGTTGATCACTGGTTGCAGCAATGCGAGCTACAACGTATCATCATCAGAACATCACGTCAGGCGGGAGCTACTGTACATTGTTTCAGGATAACGAGGTAAGCCTTTAAAGGCGTGCCTACAAGAAGGGTGTCCCTAGCCAGTCCTCTGCATATGATTCTAAGGCAGGGATTGCCACAACAAAGACAGGAAAAACTTCAGGTGGCCATTCATTCTCAACCGGTGGTGGTCGAACGACAAAGCGGAAGGTATCCTGCGGAGCCCGATGATGTGGAACCTGCCCATATTAATAACCGTGCCCGTGTGCGTGCTCGCTCAAAGACTGGGTGTTCCGTTGAAGCCAGCGCTTCAGTCAAGAGGGCCGCCTGCCGGTTGATGACGTTGCCCCTCTGCCATTGGTTGAGTACAACTTGTCGACTGTCGGGGCTGACTTTGGCGCAGTCAAGGGCACCAGCCGGGGGTACTGATTAGACGACGAGGGTCGGGGCAGCAAAGCGCCGGCGCGAGGGGCGGCACGAATAGGTTGTTCTAGTTGCCTGAACAGTTTGAAGTTCTACGTGGCTTGGAGGAAACGAATTCGACTGGGCGAAACGCTTGTGGCGTCGAGACTTCTTGAAGCAATGGGTTTGAATGGATGAAGACACAGCGCTGCCGGCGATTCATAGAACTTCCCTCGTGCGACACAGCATCTAAAAACAGTAGCACCCAACCCAATAGGGTTCGCATGTCAACCACGCCGCTGAAAGTAGAGACCAATCGCGACGCACGGGTGGTAGATAGCATGCTCCTCCTGCGCACGTGGTTCTACGCCAACGACGAGATCGGGTATACAGTACCTTTGAGACACTAACGTTCCCGTCCGCCGATGCCGAACCACTGCCCCCTCCACCTCCCCTCAGCACCCGCCCTTTCAGTCCCGGACCCCCCGACCCCCCTACATCGTCCGTCGTTCCCGTTCTCTCAAAGAGCAGTGGACCCTGAGGACCTTTAGGTGGAACGATTCCGGGCTCACCCGACGCCGAAGACGCCGACGCCGAAGGCGCCGTCGCCGATCCGCGCGGGACTATCTTTCCAGGGGTCATCACGGGTTGCGTCCGCCCTGGTGTCCTGGACGTCCCGATACCGGTAACACCGCTGCCGTCGCCGCCCCTGCCGCCGCCGCCCCTGCCGCCGCCGCCGCCGCCCCGTTCACCGTGACCGCCTCCATCGTTTCCGCCTCCGACTTCGACAACTCGATCCTTGGGGCCGCCCAGTCCCCCCGCGCCCGTGTACCACTCGTCGAGCCCTTTCGGTACCTGTGGGGTGCCGAAGCCTCCCAGTGGGCGGTTGCATGACAGACATTTCGAGCCGATCAGGACGTCTTTATCGCTCGGGACCATGGACAAAATGGCCGTCGCGCGAGCCTGGTATTTGGAGGAATGAGGGCGAAGGGAGAAATGGGTTAGATAGGCCAAAACAGAGGGATAGGAGGGCGGGAGGGACGACAATGCCGCAAAAAGATACGCACATGTGACACCTTTCGAACACGAAGTTCTTCGGTCAAATTATTTTCGTTCTGCCGTTCGCAGAGTATCGGAACTGGCACGCGCGACACATCGAGAGCACACAATCGCACCTGTTCTAGCTCGATCTGGAGTCTTTTCATTGCGACCGAACTGTTCTGGTCCTTCCCGAGCACCCTGCCTAACCGTTGGAGCTTCGTCTGTTCGTTGGCCGACTTGTTGATTTTCGACGTCATTTCTTCGAGCGCCTTCTCGATCTCAGATGCGCCTGCCTTTGAACTAAGCTCTTCGCTGAGTCGCGAGAACAACCTTTGCATGGTTTCCACGGTGGTCCCAAGTTCCTAGTTTTTTTCGAGGGTTGGGTGCGCGAGGTAGCGTGCTTGTGGACGGACAGAGGAGGTGAGTTTGAGTGCCACGGGGGGGCGGGGTGGAGCGTTATGCCATTCTGTTTTGCTAGAGGGAGTAGGAGGTGTGTCGCACCTGCCGTAGGAGTTTCGACAGGCACGGAGCATGTATGCATGAGCACCCCCATGTGAGGTGATCCGTCGTTTCTATCGATGTTTTTCGCGATTGGTTCCGTTCATCCAATAACACCATGAGTTGTTCATGCCCAAGGTCATTGTTATATCATACGCGAATCAACAGCAAACGGAAAGCTGTTCGCGTGAAGACTGTACCCGTCTGCCCCACAGGAAATATAGAATGGACAGGTAACATACCCCGAAAGGGATGAACTGAATGCATTAAAACTTGGAACAATGAAAATTCTGCCTCTTACTGCGATGGCCTGCGAGCGCTCTCTATCCGCATCCACTTCGCTAAGGACGAGGTGCATCGTTCGTTGGAAGCCGGCAAGAGCGTTTTCCATCTCCCCCAGCTTTTCCTTCACGCTATCCACGGGTGCGCTGAGCTGCCGGATGACCGATTCCCGTTCCTTATCCGCGCGCTGAGCAACGTAGACCGTCAGGTCCTCCAGCGTCACGGAAAGTCGTATCTGTTTATGCGCATACGATACATTTCATCGGGTTTTGCATAGCGTACTTCTATTGTCGCTATGCTGTCATTGTGCAGTTCAATCTATCTCGGAGGGAATCCAGGTGGCATATGGGGCGTATTTCGTGCCAAAGTTATGCGCAACCATGTCTTGACAAGTGACAAGCATGGAGGTTGTGAAATGATTTGGTGTTTCATTCAAGCCGAGGCACACACAAGCACCTACCGCAAGGTCTCCGGTGCCAACACAGTGGTTCAGTACGTTCGAGAGGGCCTTCAAGAGCACAACCATTCCTGCCGGAAAAGGCATTTTTTCCGAGGTGCCATGTCTCGTATAGGTCAGGTAGTTGAGCTTGGCCCACGCTTGAGGTGACGCGCCGCTCGTCGATGACTCTACCCCTCTGCTCCCACCACCATCCCCCCCGCCGTCCTCCGAGGTGGCGCCTTCGGTGATCCCGCCCCCTCCGGCGAGGTTTGCTGTGACTAAGGCGGTCGCGGCTTCTGCGCTGGAGGTGCGACGGTGGTGCTTGGTGTTTCCCCCGTCTTCCGCTCGACGTGCCTGCAGAACCTGAGCTTTGACGAAAGCGAAAAGCGTGGTGCCTAGGTCCGTCGCCCGGTCGGAAAAGTGCTGGGTAGCAAACAAGCATAGGGCAAAGTACGGTACGAAGGGGTTGGAGTCAAAGACGGGCAGGGTGCTCGGGACCGGCCGACATGTACTCGCTTTGTTCCCGTGGGTATATGCACTCGGTTCCCTACACACCTCCCTCTCTTCACCACCCTTCCGCCCCTCTTTTCCCCATTGTAACTCTTCACCCACCATTGCCGCAGGGCTGTCCATGACGATATCTTTGGCAAGCGTAGCGAGATCTCCAATCTCCTCCTCCAGCACCCTCGCCCTCTCTGAAATATTGACCAACAGGTGGCGGATAGCCCCCATACTCCGCAGCTTGTTGGCAGATACCTCGTTGCTGGATATTCCCTCCAGAGACGAGAGGAGCGAGCGGAGCTCCAGCTTCAGCTCAACGAGAGCCTTGTGAACGACCTTGCTCTTTTCATCGACGGCGTTGGAATCTAGGCGCTCGAGAAGCTGGGGAATGTGAGCGAGTGAACGAGTGCGGAGGGGTGGGGGGCCAAGTCGCTACGCAGGAGCAGGGAGTTCCACTTTCCCATGGTTAGAAATGCACTGGACGTCACAATATCTTTCCTCGACGCTTCGGCTTGGTGCACACATATCGTGGATGTTTGAAAACTAATTTTGATGACGGAGAGCTCCTTCTGGTCCATCGCTGTACCATGCCTTGCTGATCGCTGCTGTTACAGCAACCGACAACAACCGAGTTGAGCGATTCATGTTATAGGGAACGCGGGAGTTCGTGCAGGCGGTGGCTGTCTTCGCTAATGTTCCTCATGAGACGAATAACAGCAAAGCAAAAAAAGAAAAACCCACCAGGTGAAGCGGTGCAGAAAAAAATGCGTCACAAATGAATGTCGCTCATTTCCTTGTACAGGGGACTCACCCTGTTGATCGCATCGGCGTTTTGTTGCGCCTGTTTCCGAAACCTTCGCTTGTATTCCTCATCCTTGGCAGCTATCAAGGCCTCAAGCTCTTCCAGTGAAATCTCGGTGCGCTTCTCCTGGTCCTCCACACGATTTCGAACTGCAACGATCTCTCGCTGCAGATTCCCTAGGTCTCGCCCCATTTGGCTCATTTGTTCACTCGGACTCTCTAGTGACACGCTTTGAGCTGCAGGCTGGCAAAGTAGGTACCGGGTTGACAAAGACGGCCGTGACGATGTTCGTGCGGGCCTTGGATGCATGGTTGATCGTTGAACCCTTACACAGCAGTTGTTGAAGAAATATTTTGTGTTCGGCAGCAACACGCTGTGGCGTCTTTTTGAGAAGGCTCGTTTGTTGTGAATGCTCTAGGCTAGGGGGGGGGGGCAGGCCTACGACCTATTCCTGACCTGTGGACCCGGATGCTGCTGTTTTGGGTGGGCGTACTCGTCAGAATCCAGGACTGCCTCGGCCTGGTGGTCCCTGCTGTGTGGACCGTTGTGGTGTGCTTTGTTGACGTCCTCCTGTCGAACTCTTCGCGCTTGCCCTTGCCCATCCCAACCCGCTCCCAGGCTCTTCAATTGATGTTGAAGGTTCTCCAGCTCGGTCTCTTGGCTCTGGAGTTGCCTACCGTTAGCAAATGCACGTTGAGGGTGTCGGATCGGAGGGAATGAAGTCTCAGGCGAATGCCGTCGATGAGATGAACGTAGCGGCCCGGCTGAAATGGACCGTGAAGTGTCGTTAAGGACAGCGACGACAGTTTTCCAACTGCTGGTCCTCGACGACGGTGAAATCCACCCGAACCATTTTTTCTCTAACACGGAAGTACCGTGCGTGGTGATTTTTTCCTTCGGGTTAGGGTATTATTGCCGTGATCGCCCGTAAGGGTGAAGGTCGGCGGAATCTGCTATGTTGGTAGGCGTGTGAGTGTGTGAGGATGTTGGGGAGGTGCAATCCAGAGATTTCGCTTTCGGCGGAGTCCGGCATATGTTGTGTTCACCGCAACAAGGGACTCTATCGAACGACCGGTCAGGCGACTCGCCCCTTTCGTCAACAGCGGCATGGACTTGGAGATATCTTGGCTTCATATCCCAGGCCAAATGTTCCTCCAGTAAGTTCTGCAATCCATTGATAGACCAGCTAACCATCCACCCATCCACCACTCTTCCACTCTCACATTGCCATTGATGTAAACATGAGCACCGGATTCCCTCCCATAGCTCCATCGAACATTCCTTGCACCCCACCGGATGATTCTCGTTTCTGGCGCGAGTGAGAGGGCAGAGAACAGTTGGTGAGATTTGCTACGGCTCTGCGGTCGTTTTAGAGCGCACACCCTTAGCACTAAAAAAAATCCGGACTATTCGCGCGTGCCACGAATACTTGAGCGTAGGGAACCGCTTAGATATCTTGACGTTGCCTCGAAAGTAGTGATCTTCTTCCAGCATTTGTTCATCCACTCTCCCCTTGTGGAACACGGTGCCGACCAGAACGGCGAAATATCTAGCTGTATCATTGGGACCAAAGATTCAATTCCACACCGAATGAAAATAAGCCAGGTCATTTTCACCGAAGGGGGACAACGCCCGCCCTCGGCTCTGATTCCAATCTGAGAATAGGGCCTTCCCCGTAGTGGGGAATTTTGACCATTGTGTCAGCTTGTGATTGCCTTGGATACATCAATTGGTCCCATTGTCCTTAACAAGGGAAATGTCGTGCGTTTGAACCTCAGCACATGTGATGTTCTTTTTTCGCCACATATTATCGGATGACTCGGCGGCGCAAACATCACCACTCATTTGACAAGCAGCAGGCAGCGCTGACCATTTCTCGTCTAGAGGATAGCCCCTCAACCTTAACAGAAGAATAGATAATTATCGTACCTTGTCGCGCGATCACAGCAGCCCTTACGATCCATATGCGCGTACGTGGTGGGTATGGCAAAATAATCTGTCTTATTGTCCAGTTCGTGAACTCGTAAGAATTTCGACTGTTGGTTGTGTGGGTTCGCATCTCTCAGGAGAGATCCACCCACAATTCACGCGCGGATTGAGCACTAGTGGAAAACACACGACAAAGTATAAAGAAACAGCTGAACCGGCTCGCGATAGTGTAGATCAAAGGCAAACACTATTGCAGGAGACAAAGTGCAGAAACTTAACTGCTGTGTTTGCCTTGCTGTGACCCCAGCTGATGCATCCAACACATACTGAATGTGTTGACTGGCACCCAAATCATACGGGACGAAAGCACACACCAACATGTAAGATTGGTTTGGACTTGCAGACCTCCCAACAAATGGTGGAGGTAGGTCTGTACGTTTAGTGACGCACCGTGGTTTGTGGCAGATAACTGCTTTTTGTCGCATACCCAGGCGGTCATGATGTAGAAAAGATCATGATTGGTGAGTCTTGCAACCGTGCGGTATTGAGGGGCAGACTTGCGACAGCGAAACTCGCACACTTGTCGGCAGGAGTACCGAGCAACTGCTCCACATCACCAAATGAAAACGTTTTACAACATGGTAAACAAGCGTAGTTGAAGCAACAACAACAACAACAACAACAACGGCTCCGTAGGCTTTTCCGTGCACCAACCGAAGGGCGCCGTTTCAACTTTGCAAACGATCGCCCTCAAAGTTTTAGAGCTTTGCACGCGGTGTGGTTGGTTAAGGGGGAATTCTCGTTAGGAAGGGGCTTTTTCAAGGCGAATACTTACCTTGTTGTCCTTGTGATGACTATGGTGGTCTTTGTGGTGCGAAGAGGCCGAGGATTCATGCCGATCCTTGCGCTCTCCTTTCCTTGGCAGTTCTATACCTCTCCTTGTGATCTCATCCGGAGCATCAGCCAGAGTGGCCTCCTTGTCATTGCTCACCCTGGGCTTGGTGCCCGCGCGCTTGCGGGCTTTCTGGGGCCGTTGTCCACATCGTCCTTCAGAACGCGCGCCTGCCGATGATGCTTTGACTGCTACGGTGCCAGCGCCTTTGGGTCTGTCCTGGTCTCCGCCAGTGCCGCCTCCTGCTTTCGCGACTGGAGTTGCTGCCTTCCATTCTCGTCGTGGGTCTTGCTCGATCTCTGCGAAACCTTCATCCTCGGGATCCGCAACAGCAGTGAGGTCGGAGGGATCCGAACGAGAACCCGAGGACGAACCGCGCTTTTGCCGGCTTGGAAACTTTGCCCCCTGCGGGCTTGACTCGTCCGAATTTTGCCGATGTGGGGTCTCCGTTGAATTTGTGTTTGTCTCTTCATGTGATGGCCGCCTTGCCGCGTCTTCAGCTGACCACGATAGGAAAGAGTTCTCGTCATCGTTTGCCGCCTGCCGATGCCGCACTTCCCGTTCTAGCTCTGTCTCATTGCTCTCCTTCTCGTCGCTGCTGTCGATTTCCAGTATCTCATCTCCTGCTTTGCGACACGTGTTTTTGGAAATACGTGGTCTCGATGAATGGAATGCACGGAATTGCGGGATACATGGCACACTAACAATGATTTGATGACGAGTTCAGTTGAGATGTCAGTCAGGCTGAAACTAGTCCCATTCAGAAAACCTCCACCTTGCAGCGAAGGCTTGCTTGTTTCCGAAGAACTGCTTCCCCAGTCCGGCTTGGTGACAAGCATATCCCTCCACCAGTTTTGAAGAGTGATCACGGCACACTCCGCAGGATCATCTCTGCGAGAATCCACGAAAATGGAAAAACCGTATCTGATGAATCCACGGCACTGTGTTAATCTTTGCCGTTGATAATGAGTGATGGGCGAGGGGGTCTATTTTTCATGTGGATGCCCACGATACACCGCGAAAGCCAGAATCAAAGCATATATCATTTACACTTGTTCTATGCATAACAAGCATCAACGTTATGTTCTCTTTCTGTGCATTGCTAGCGTGATACAGCCTATCGGGGTCGGTCGCAAAAGAACCCCCAGAACCCGAGGAAGTCTTTCGTGCGAACCCGAGACAAGGAAAAAATGAACCAACGTACATATCAGAGGGCTTGTAGCTCTTTCTGTTGAGGATGCTCATCCACACTTCGATGACCCTTTGTCCCTTGTTCATGTCCCACAGCCCTTGAAGCTTGACTAGGTCCTTCTCCAGGACGGCCACTCGATGCATGAGGAACACCAAGTCCTCATTCGAAACGGCCGGCTCTGCTTGATGGAAAATTCAAGCAATGAGGAAGCCACAATGTCCTTTCCTCAGTTACGGAAGCCATCATGGCATCTCTGAGTGCATAGCAGATTTGCGTCGTGGCTGCCATGCATCTAGAATCACCTAATACCTCTTGACACTGCAACCCCTAACCCCTCTTCTAGGCTCTGTGCCACCGTGCTATGGCCCAGGTCTGTTTCGAAACTCACACAAGGCGTCACAACAGTCTGTGGAAGGGCCAGCATGAGCGTTCATGCAGCGCGGGATCCTCAGTAAGTCTCACTGATTCTCGCGAGATATGGAGTGGTGAGGAATACTTCAGCAATAGTCTACACCAGCATGTATTGCTTTTTCAGCGTAACAACGTTGCCTCTGGTACTCGTGAATCTGACTTACACCTTAGGGCCACTACAAGGCCGCAAGGCGACAAATCATCGCCCGAGTCTCTGAAAATGCCAGCACAACGATGGTTACCACTGAAAACACGAATTTATCGAGCCCTTTAATGAGGCGATTTGTGCACGTGGACGTGCCATTGTCAACCGCAGAACGGTGACCGTTGACCAACGTTAATGACAGAGTGGCCAAAGAGTGCAAACACGCCATATCGTCACTCACAACGGACCGACGGTGGCCCGACAACTGGATTCGCACCTTGCCCATGTGCCTCGTCAGATCGATTGTTGTCCCATTCCTCGATATCATGCTCGACAAGAGCCATTTCCACCTCACTCTGCTCAGAGGCTCCAACAGCCGTCGTGTCATCTTCCGTAGTAACTCCCGCGTCAAGGTTGTCACCAGGAGCTCCCGCCAAGTTCGCCGTATTGGCGCTAGTATTTGCCCTGCGCTCGAAGTTCTCCGCCTTTCGCTTGGCCGCTGCTCTCCGATTCATGTCTGCGACCTCCGACTTCCAGGCCATCATCATCTCCACCTGTTTGCCAAGTTTAGCGATTGACGACTGCTGCTTTGAGGCAAGCGCTCCGACGACTCGCTCCAAAGCGTCCACCTC